GGATCCCTGGAAATGTCCCAGGCTGGATGGGGCTTGGAGCAGCCTGGGACAGTGGAAGGGGTGGAAGGGATGGGATTTAAGCTCCCTTCTATCTCAAACCAGCCTGGGATTCTAAGGCCAACAACCCTCATTATCTCAGCCAGTCTAACACATTTACCTACAGAATTTCCCCTCATTCCAGGCAGATTTGTGGCATTTCCAACATAACTAAAACGGGAATTAAGTCTAAAAAGTTCTCCAGATCTGTAGGGACCAAGTGAAATCAATATTGCACACCAGAATGAAGTTACAGGCAGGATTTCTTTGCTCTCAAGCACAAAGCACAATTCCCTCCACCAGACCTTCCTAAGGGCCATGTAAAACCTCCAAACCTCTTGTTGAGAAACCCTGTGGGAAAAAAACAAAGCAAATAATTCCTTGGAAGAGCTCAGGATGCAACTTCCTGCCCCAAGCCCGAAGTCTCAGCCACACTGACAATGTTGGGGAAAAGAATTTAAATTGTGTTGATGCCTCCCAAGTGTCAGAGTTCCGAGGAAATCGGAGCTGAGGTGGATCCAGGGAAGCAGGCTGGGACCTGCTGAAGGGAAATAAACCCCAGAAAACAGCCAGGATTTGTTATTTATGCTGTCATTTCTGCTCCAGGGGTGAAAGCTCTGCACTGATGTTTCCCAACTCCATTCCTGCCAGTGCCTGGCAGAGCACAAGGGGATTTCCCACAGCCAATATTCCCATCTCCAGTATTTGGAACTGTCTTTTCCACAATGTTTTTGTTCTTCTTTGAGAGTTAAGGAGCTTTTCTGTAATGAAGTAATAAAATTCTGGCAGAAAACTAGGGAAAAGGGATGAAACATCTTGAATTTGGGTTCTGGAGTTGGAGAACTTAAGAGGAACCTGTAATATTTTGAGATAAACTTTTTGATTTCTCACTCTTCAGCAGAAAAATTCAGAGGAAAGGAAGCAGAAGTTGTTCTGAATCTAATACAAAAGCCTTAATTTTTGCAAAATACAGAGCACACTGGCTTCTAACAAGAAAAAAATAACTGGGTTTGGTGTCCTCCCTTCCTATTTAACCCTTTAACAGGCTCATAAAATTAAGGTTTCTTTCCTCAGATTCAGGTAACAGAAAGGAAAAAGGATTTTCTAAACCAGCAATCACCATTATTTGCTTTTATTTACACAGCCTGACTCTATAAAGTTTTAGGTAAGAGCTCAGGTTTTAGAAAACCTTCCAATTTTTCTCTCCTATGGAGCTACAAAAGATTCCTGTAACAGGCAAAGAAGAAAAGGAGATGAGAATTTAGTGATAATATGCGATTCTTTTGGTAAGTTTAGTGCTGTTAAAAATACTTTACAAATCCTCTGGGCACTGTGAATAAATACAGAAGTATTTGAAATAAGGTGGGTTGGTGCCTGTGCCATGCTCTGTGTGTGCTTTGAAAGCCACAGTGAGCACAGTAGTTTTGTCCATTAAACAAGAGGATTCTCTTTTTTTTTCATGGAAAAGCTGTAAGAAACAACAATTTCATGGAGTTTAAGGCTAAAGACCAACATTTCATCAGAGAGCTGAAAAAAGCTTTGTTCTAAAGAAGCTATGAAGCAAAGCACGAAAATACTTCTGAAGCAGAAGAGTTAGGAAAAAGGGAATGGCTTCCCACTGGCAGAGGGGCGGGATGGATGGGAGATTGGGAAGGAATTGCTGGCTGGGAGGGTGGCGAGACCCTGGAACAGAGTTCCCAGAGCAGCTGTGGCTGCCCCTGGATCCCTGGCAGTGCCCAAGGCCAGGCTGGACACTGGGGCTGGAGCAGCTGGGACGGTGGAAGTGTCCCTGCCATGGCAGGGGCGGGATGGGATGGGATGGGATGGGATGGGATGGGATGGGATGGGGTGGGGTGGGATGGGATGGGGTGGGGTGGGATGGGATGGGGTGGGGTGGGATGGGATGGGGTGGGGTGGGATGGGATGGGGTGGGATGGGATGGGATGGGATGGGATGGGATGGGATGGGATGGGATGGGATGGGATGGGATGGGATGGGATGGGATGGGATGGGGTGGGATGGGGTGGGATGGGATGGGATGGGATTGAAGGTCCCTGCCCGCCTTGCCGAGCCGGTCGGAGGCCGGTGAGCCGCGGCCGCTGCCGGTTCCCGGTGCCGGTCCCACCTTGCTGAGGCACAGATCCACCGCGGGCTCCCGCAGCCGCACCGTGGCCTTTCCCTCCTCCACGAAGCGCGTGAAGAGCCGCTCCACGTTCTGCTGCACCTGCGGGCACACAGCGGGGCTCAGCGGCACCCGGGGCACCCCCGCCGCCCCCGGGCCCGCCGCCGTGCCCACCTTGTACCGAGCGCCGCCGCGGTCCCGCGCCGTGCACACCATGAGGTAAATCCCGGCCCCGGCGGCGCCGGGAGCGCGCCCGAGCGACAGCAGCGCCCGCGCCGCGCGGCCGCGGCCCCGCAGCCCGCAGCTGGGCAGGAGCCGGCTCAGCACTTCCACCTCGCACTGCAGCCGCATCCTGGTCCCGATCGCGATCCCGATCCCGGTCCCGGTCCCGGTACCGGCCCCGGCCCGCGCACGGCGGGCGGCGCCGCCGGGGCCTCCCGCGCTGTGCGCGCAGAGGCGCCCGCTGTGCTGCCTGCCCGCCGCGCTGCTCCGTCCCGCCCGCTGAGGGGCGCGGGGCCGCCCGGCGGGCGGGGTACCGGGGCGGGAAGGGAGGGCGGCGGCTCCGGTGGTACCGGCGGCAGCGGCCGCACCGGCAGCTGCGGGCAGCCCGAGCGCGGCCCTCAGCGCAGCGCCGCCGCGCGGGGCGGGCCGCGGGCGCCTCCTGCTGGCGGCGGCTGGTGCGGCCCGGCCCGGCCCGGCGGGAGAGAGCGGCAGGGGCGTGAGGGGACACCGGGGTGAGGGGACATGGAAATGTGAGGGGACATGGAAATGTGAGGGGACATGGAAATGTGAGAGGACATGGGGCATGAGGGGACATGGAAATGTGAGGGGACATGGAAATGTGAGGTGACACGGGGCGTGAGGGGACATGGGGGTGAGGGGACATGGAAATGTAAGGGGACATGGAAATGTGAGGGGACATGGAGCGTGAGGGGACACGGAGTGTGAGGGGACACGGGGGTGAGGGGACAGGGAAATGTGAGGGGACATGGGGCATGAGGGGACATGGAGTGTGAAGGGACATGGAAATGTGAGGGGACATGGAAATGTGAGGGGACATGGAAATGTGAGGGGACATGGGGCGTGAGGGGACATGGAAATGTGAGGGGACATGGAAATGTGAGGGGACATGGAGCGTGAGGGGACATGGAAATGTGAGGGGACATAGGGCATGAGGGGACATGGAGTGTGAGGGGATATGGAGGAGCTGAGAGGACACGGGATGTGAGTGGACATGGTCGTATGAGAGGATGTGGATTGTGAGGGGACATTGAGGATACGAGGGGATGCTGAGGATGTGAGGGGGAACGAAGGTGTGAAGAACACGGAGTGTGAATGGACATGGAGGAGCTGAGGGGACACAGGTGTGAGGGGATGTGGAGGATGAGGGGACATGGAGGGTGTGAAGGGACACATAGGGTGAGGGGACATTGGGAGTTGGGAGAGGACACAGGAGCTGAGGGTGTTGCCAAATCTTAGGGACTCTAAACACCAACGAGTCAGGTCTAGAAAGGAGACACTGTTTATTCTGTGTAGGGTGCAAAGTGGAAATTGTCCACAAATCAAGCACGCCAGGGAATAAAAAAATTATTTATACACTAAAGTTTACATAAATCTGCTCATCTAATCCCCAGTTCCTGCCGACCTAATCCACAGTCATATCCAAGTATGACATAAAGGAGAAAGTTTTCCATGAACATCAAGTGAAGCATAAGAGACATGGTGACATGTTGGCATTGAAAATAGGGGTTAGAGGGGAGAATGGTGCGAGGAGCAAGAGGAAGGGCCAGAGAATTCTGCGTAAGGACTTGGAGGGGACATGGAGGAGTTGAAGGGATGGTGGGTGTGAGGGGCATGGGAGCTGAGGGGATACAGGAAATGAGGGGACACAGAGGAGCTGAGGGGACACAGAGAAGCTGAGGGGACACAGAGAAGCTGAGGGACACAGGAGGTGAGGGGACAGGGGAGCTGAGGTGACACAGAGGTGAGGGGACAGGGGAGCTGAGGTGACACAGGAGGTGAGGGGACCCGATCCGAGCGCAGGTGGGTGTGATAACCGCAGCTGATGCTCCGTAAGCAACAGGAAGGCTTAGGTCAGGCTTGGTGTCCATGTCGGTGCAGTGAGGCGGCTTTGAGCGCATGAAGCAGCATTGGGAGAAAAAAAATAAACTCGAGAAGCGCTTTGCTGAGTGTTTGCGGAGATGTATTATTTGAGGGGTGATTTGGGTATAAAATTTGTACGTGTGAGTGAGCAGTGTAATGGAGCGTTGCGGGGTTGTTAGTGATTAGTGTCAGTAGGAGGCGGTGTTTTTGTGTTTTGGTGTTTGTGTTGGGGAAGGGGTGTTTGTGTTTTGGGGTGTGAGTTTGGGGTGTCGGGGAGGCAAAAGAGGAGCCCGCGTGTCTCTGTATTGCCCAGGCTACGCTGGCGTGGCTATTCACAGGCGCGATCCCGCTACTGACCGCCACGGGAGCTTTGACCTGCTCCGTCTCCGACCTGGGCCGGTTCACCCCTCCTTAGTCAACCTGGTGTCCCGCAGCTCCCCGCGGGTCACCATATTGATGGCGGCCTTAGCTTGGACGCCCGCTCGGCACAGCGCACGGCAGCCCAGAACTCCTGGGCTCAAGCGATCCGTCGGGCTCAGCCTCCCCGGCAGCTGGGACTACAGGCGTGCGCCACCGCGCCCGGCGCTCGCAGCCCGCTCCGCAGCGCTGACGGCTTGTGCTGCAGCGTGACGTCACGGGGCGGCCGCTGCTGCTCCGCCCCGCTGCGTGACGTCACGGGAGAAAAAGCGCGGGCCGCCCCGCTGCGTGACGTCACGGGCGGTGCACGCCGGGAGGCGCCGTGAGGGTTATAACGGCAGGCGGCCGCCGCCATCTTCCTCTCGGTACCACACAGCCATGGGACACCAGCAGCTCTACTGGAGCCACCCCAGGAAGTTCGGCCAGGGCTCCCGCTCGTGGTCAGTGCTGTCCTTTGCTCTCCGCGGGTCGTGGCTGCCGCGTCGCTCCCCTTCCCTTCACATTTACCACCCCCCCGCCCTCACGCGCCTCTCTCTGTTCCCCTCACAGCCGCGTGTGCTCCAACCGCCACGGCCTCATCCGCAAGTACGGGCTCAACATGTGCCGCCAGTGCTTCCGCCAGTACGCCAAGGACATCGGGTTCATCAAGGTGAGCCCCGCGGCTGCGGGAGGCGGCTCGGCCGTGCCGCTCCCCGCTGACTCCCCGCGTGTCTCTCGCTCTCTTGCAGCTGGACTGAGCGCCGGGAGGATGAGGCGACAGCCAGGAGCGGCCGGGGCGTTCCAGAGCATCCCTGACACATCTCCAGCGTCTCGGCTCAGCCTTACCTAATAAATGCTCTCCTAACCCATATGATAGTGCGTGTTTCCCTTCTGTGCAGGTTTTAGCGGCTTTGGGGCTGCTCTGCTGTGCTCAGCTTCTCAGCCTTCCATACCCTGGGCTGCTCCAAGCCTAGGACACTTCCAGGGATCCAGGGGCAGCCACAGCTGCTCTGAAGGGAGTGAGTTAAAGCCACTTCAGTGTGCCACAGGTCTGGAATTAGGTTTCCCAAGTCCTTTAAAATGCTATTCCAAGTTTCTGGATGCTCTTCTGCTATTCAGTGCTACTGCTGTGAGGGGACTGACCACAGGTAAATGCTCTGCTCACACCTGGGGTCCCAAATGCTGCTCCCTCCCAGCTGAGTGCTCTGCAGATCCTTTGGGAATGCCCAGGGACATTTGCTTTGTCCCTCTCAATGCCATGAGGTGGTGAGGAGGGAGTGGGAGCAAACCCAGCTGTGCCCATAGCAAAAGCTGAAGGGCTGTGGGAATGATGGAATTTGCAATGGTTTGGGCTGGAAGGGCCCTTAAAGCCCATCCTTTTCCAGTCCCCTGCCCTGGGCAGGGACACAGCACTGGTTGCTGAGGAAGCAGCTCCTTCCACCTCCTGCTAAATCCATTGGCACAGGGATGAGGGTTTGGCATCATCTGGGAGCTCTGGGGAATGGTTGGACCTCTCATTTTGAGTGAGAAATGGTCAAATCCTGGTTCTTACCAGAGAACTCTCCAGTGTGAATTTCTACACTAAAAATTTAAACTTTCAGTTGCTCTGGTGGTGATTTTGGGTTCCCCCCCACCAGTTTTTGTTGATGTGCACACAGGGAGGGGAATCCTGTGGGATGTGTTTCTTTGGCTTCAGTGTGGTTCTGAAAACCCTCATTGCCTTTTTAACCAAAATACTGAATTTCTAGGGGGGATTTTAACTGAGGTGTAAAACTTCAGAGAAACACAAGATGAGCGAGGATGCAAAATGTGCTGGGAGGGTCTGTGCAGTTCCCACTGCTGTGTGCACCTTCCTCCTGCTGTCCCTCAGAGGTGCTTGAGGCACTTCCCAGTGGGAAATCCATGTTTTTCCCAACACCTCGGCACAGGAGGATGCTCCCATGGGTACCACTGAGAGCCTTGGAAATGGCACCAGGATTGGGATGTGTTGGATTCTAAGAGCTGTTCAAGCCAGGCAGGGGATTGTGGATATTTGTCCCTTTTTTCCTTGAGCAAAGCTCCTTCCTGATGGCAAAAGGGATTTGGGATAATTTTCCCTGTGCTGCCCTGAGGATCTGGCCCCCAAATCTCTGCCAGAACATTTTTTTGCCTCATGGAAACAAAAATAAAAAAAATAGTTGGAGATGGTAATTGCAAAACAAATCCCTATTGAAACCAAAGCTAAAATAACGTTTAAATTACCTTGTAAACATTCAAATTCCTCTGTTGGCACCTAATTTTGTGAAATTACAAAATTGCATTTTTCTTGTTTTGTTGCTTTTAAGCCTGGGGAGGAAGTGGTATAGGACAAGCTATAATTCCCTTTTACCTCATTGCTGCCTCAACCAGGTATTTACTGCCCAATATACAACGAAGATGAGGAGCCAAAACCTTGAATTTCCCGAGCTAGGTCTGGAAATTGCATTTTGTTTCTGGTGGCTCCGGTCCCTGGAGGTTCATGGATGTGAAGCTGGAACTTAATTTGGATGCAAAGTGATTTATAAAGAGCGGCTGATTCCCCTAAAGAACAGGTGAAATCAAAATCCACTTCAAGGACTTTGCATTAATAATAAACAACTAATAAATGGTTTCCTGTAGGGAAATAAAATGTCCTGCTTGGAGCCAAGGAAAAGATAGTGGTGCTTTGGGAGAGGGGAGTTTCCGACTGCTGGAATTGAGTTTATAGGGGATTTGCAGTGCTGAAACCCCAATAAATTGCATTGGATTATGCACCAGATAAAATCTGTGCTTGTCACAGGCTCTGGGAGGAATTTCCGAAGTTTTGGGGAAAACTTTGGCTTCTGAGCTCATCCTGAGGCTGGAAAAGCTGAGAGTGGTCTGTAGGAAAGCAGTCCCATTCCTGCTGGGAATGCTCCTGGGTTTGTGGCACCAGCCTGGGGGTGTTCTTGGGGCTCTTTTCCTTCTCCCAGGTGGATCCCAATCTCCTGGGTTAGGAATTCCCTTCTCCTGGCCTGAGCTTTCAGCCTGATCCTCCCAGTGTGACATTCCCCCATTCCTGCAGGGATCCAGCTCCGCCTGGGGTGCTTTGGAGGCTGCAGGTGATGCTTGGAGTGACACTGATTTTAGGGCTGTCCAGCAGTTGAGGGAAAGGGACAAACCCAGCCATGGAAAGGAAGGAAACCTCCAGAGGGTGGGAGCGGGGCCAGGCAGCCTGAGAGGATACAGGGAATTTATCCAAGCACACAGGAACTGGGAAGGATAAAGCCCTGAGGGAATTAAATGTGGCCAGGGCCATCAAAGGTGACAAAAATGCTTCTAAAGTACCTCGGTGATAAAAGGAACAGCAGGGAAAACTCTCAGAATTCACAGGTTGGAAGAGACCTTCAAGACCATCGAGTCCAACTCGGCCCTGGCACCCAGTGCCACATCCAGGCTTTGTTAAACACACCCAGGGATGGGGACTCCACCACCTCCTGGGCAGAACATTCCAGAACTTTATCACTCTTTCTGTGAAGAACTTTTTCCTAATATCCAACCTTTGTTTCCTTTGGCACAGCTTGAGGCTGTGACCTCTGGTTCTGGAGAAAGAGCCCAACCCCAGCTGAGCTCAGACACATTTCAGGAGCTGTGGGGAGTGCTGAGGTCAGCCCTGAGCCTCCTTTTCTCCAGGCTGAGCACCCCCAGCTCCCTCAGCCGTTCCTCACAGGGTTTGTGTTTCCAGCCTCGTTGCCTCCTCTGGATGTGCTGGAGCATCCCAAGGTCCTTCCCAAACTGAGGGACCAGAGCTGGACACAGCACTCGAGGTGTCCCCTCAGCAGTCACACACTGGAGGAAACAGGAGAGCGAGGGCTGGAGCCAGGCTGGGAGAGTTGGGAATGTTCCCCTGGAGAGGAGAAGCTCCAGGGAGAGCTCAGAGCCCCTTGCAGAGCCTGAAGGCTCCAGGAGCAGCAGCTAGATGGCACCGTCAGCCCGCAATTCCTTCTCCCTGCCCTGCCCCTGAGTCCCAGCCTCCCTCCGGCAGCTGGAGCCTGCAGGAATTTGTCCTGTGGACTCCCCGTCCTTGCTTTTATTTGAAAAATCCCAATATTTTGTATCCTTGCTCGTGGACACCAGGATTGTGGCAGAGCCGAGCTCTCCTTGCTCCTGCTTGAGTGTGTGTGACACTGGAAGCAAAATTCCAGTTGCTACCTTCCCCTTTCCCCTTTCCCCTTTCCCCTTTCCCCTTTCCCCTTTCCCTTTCCCTTTCCCTTTCCCTTTCCCTTTCCCTTTCCCTTTCCCTTTCCCTTCCCCTTTCCCTTTCCCTTCCCCTTCCCCTTTCCTTTCCCTCCTGCATGTGCTGTCATTTTGGGCAAAAAGTTTAAAATCCCACCCAAACCAGACAGGCACTCTTTATCCCTGCTCAGGTTATCCCTGATTTTCTCCTGCATCTTCACCAGCCCCTGCTGAGCTCTCCTCATCTTCTCTGGGACCACAAATATTCCTGAACTAAGGGCTTTTATCCATAAATTAATTTTAGGAGAGTCAAACTCAGCCTGGGGACATTTGGGTGTCACTTTGTGGGGCCAGAAGCTGTGCTGAGCTCGAGGGAAGCATCGCTCCTGCATCCAGCACCAGAGACTTGGGGAAATCCCATGGATTTGGGAAAATCCCATGGATTTCTCCCTGCTGATTCCCAGCACCTGTCTGGAACTGCAGTGGTACTCACTTTATAATTTGATTTATTCCTTTAGCACAGTCCTCTGCTAAACTTTCCCCGTGCCAGCACTGGGGTGAGCCCCCGAGCACAGGGTGTGGCTCGGGGGCAGGAGAATTTTCCAGGAAAAATTTTCCAGGAAAAATTTCCCCATGGAAAAGGTGCTCAGGCCTTGGAATTGGCTGCCCAGGGAGGTTTGGAGTTCCCATCCCTGGAAGTGCCCAAGGAATTCCTGGAGGTGGCACTCAGAGCTCTGGGCTGGGGACAAGGTGGGCATCAGGCACAGCTGGGACTGGATGATCCCAAACATTTTTTCCAACTCGATGATTCCATGATTCTGCTCCAAGTTTTTAACAATCTGATGGGATAAACACCCAGGAAAATCCAGGCAGATGGGATCAGGTTGTGTGGTGAGCTGAAGTGCTTCTAAATAAAACATTCCCAAGGGCTGGCATGAGGCACCAGTGGCTCTAATTCACGCCTCTTGTTGGGAGTGTGTTCCTTGCAGACAATGTTTATTTATGGCATGGAAAAATCTATTTCCATCCAATCATTTCCATAACTGAATATTTATGCCAACAGCCAGTGAATGCTCCTTGACTAAAGTGAAAAAGTATTTATTCAGTTGTAAATGTTTACTTGTTTAGTGGTGAAACTGCTTTAAACAAACTTAAAAATCAAATTGGTGTCTCCCCCTTTTGCAGGATTTCCGTGCTTTTCCAGGCATGGGCAATAGATAATGGTGGAATTATCATTCCAGCTGGAGGAACCTCTGTGCATTTACACCTTTAATCTCAGAGACAGTTGGTTTAAGTGGGATATTGGGAAGGAATTGCTGGCTGGGAGGGTGGGGAGGAGCTGGGCTGGAATTGCCAGAGCAGCTGTGGCTGCCCCTGGATCCCTGGCAGTGCCCAAGGCCAGGTTGGAGCAGCCTGGGATGGTGGAAGGTGTCCCTGCTATGGCAGGGGTGGGATTTAGGATCCTTTCCAACCCAACCCATTCTGGGATGACCAGGCAGTGCTGGAGTCCCCATTCCTGGAGGGATTGAAGTCCCTGTGGATGTGGCACTTGGGGACACGGAGCAGGGATGGCCTTGGCAGGGCTGGGGATGTTTGGACTCTGCCTTAGCTGGGGACTCCCCCTGCCCTGGGCAGCTGTGACAGGGCTGGACAAACC